TTAACAGACGTGTGTTCGCGGGTGCAATTACGTGAAATAGTCACACCAAACGCAGGCCTAAGGAAACCTTCCAGAAAACTAAGAGCCCACTCATGGCAAGCTCAAATTTCAGGCCATTCTGTGTGCCTTGAAAATTGGATTTCTTATAATGGAGGTGACAGGTGACTATTTTTTTTTTACTAAAAAATTATTTGCATTGGGTTCTTCCTTGCTGCACCTGGACCGTGAAGGGGCTTAAAGTCAACTTTTCAAGCCCTTCTGTGGTGAGAAGGCAGGGCAGGTGAGGGGTCAGCCCTGCAGGCGGGAAGGGAACCCTCAGACAAATGAGTTTGCTCAGACAGTCTCGTCACAGTGACTGTGGGGCTGACACATGGCCCAGCACCTCATCCGCCGTCCCCAGCCTGGGGCCAGGCCACCCTCACAGACACGGGGCCATCCCTCCACGGACGCAGGCCCTGACCGGAAGCAGGAAGTGGAGTGAGGGTGTGACAGGGAGGGTGCAGACACTGGCCACCTGCAGCAACAGTGTTTGCTCACCTGGGGAACAGCTGTTGTGAGCTCAGAGCTGCACCCACAGACTTGCCCAAACTGGGGCTCACCTAGGAGACCTGGAGGAATCTGATAGGTGGGTGGCGGTCTCCCAACACTCAGGACAGACCAAGGGGCCTCGGGGTGGGAAGAGCCCCACAAGTGGGGGTGGAGGTGGCAGGCGTGGAGGAGCAGCCGGCACTGATGAGGCCTCCCTCCCTCCCTCCTGCCACAGGACCTGAGCGGGCCCTCCCCGTGTGCCCTCGTGGGTCCTGATGTGTGTCCCTGCCTCCTGTGTGTCCTGCAGTGAAAGCCACTCCGGGGGGTACAGCATGAGGCGTCAGGCCTCCAGGATCAGGGGCAGCAGCCATGGCTGGTCTCATGGGAGGGCACAGCCCACGCCCACCCTGGCTGCAGGTCCCTGCCATCCACAGGCCGTGTCCTCACCGTGGTCGTTGTGCCGGGCCAGGTCCTGCGCATCAATGAGAAGGTCATGGTCCGTGTCCAGCTCCCAGAACTTGCAGTAAATGACGTAGAAGTGCTCGTAAGAGAAATACTCTGTCAGCTGGTTGATGTCCGCCTCCTCTTCCAGGAGTGCCACATTCTGCAGGCACAAACCCGAGAGTTTCCATGGCAGCCGGGCCTCCTGCAGGTGGGACCCCAGGGTCTCACAGGTGACGGTGGGGGCTCAGAGCTGGTGGAGACCCGCTCAGGGGTTGGGAGCTCAGTACCCAGGGGAGGGGCGCCCCCGCGTCAGGGCCGCCTGACAGCCACGGGGAGCAGCACCGTGAGCAGGTATCCTGACGCAGGCAGGTCAGCACCCCACCTTGTGAACACGCCCATCCACAGAACTGGGTGTGGGCATGGGGGACGCCAGCTCCCAGAGGGCGGGTCGTGCCTCTTGGACAGGTGGAAGGATGGACGCAGGATGAATGGAAGGAAGGGAGGGATGATGGATGCATGCGTGGGTTGGGGAGGGAGGATGATGGTGGATGGGGTTTGGGTGGGTGGAAGGAGGGAGGGGTGATGGGTGGGTGGGTGGTGGGTGGGGCCGGGAGGGAGGGATCAGTGGGTGACGGTGGGGGAGTGGAGGGAGAATGACAGTGGATGGGGGTTGG